CTATAAACCTACCAACGTCCGTTGCCATGATTTTTGGAATGACTTATCGCGAGAGGAAAAAAAAGACGTTTTAGTCGCATAACATCGGTTAATGGAAACGCCGTCATTTCGCAATAGTTTTTTATCGACATTTAGAAAATATCGCAAAAGTTTTGCGCAAATCTGTAATGGAAACACGCCTAGTGATATATATATATATAGATATATATATACACACACACTCACCTAAAGGATTATTAGGAACACCTGTTCAATTTGTCATTAATGCAATTATCTAATCAACCAATCACATGGTAGTTGCTTCAATGCATTTAGGGGTGTGGTCCTGGTCAAGACAATCTCCTGAACTCCAAACTGAATGTCAGAATGGGGAAGAAAGGTGATTTAAGCAATTTTGAGCGTGGCATGGTTGTTGGTGCCAGACGGGCCGGTCTGAGTATTTCACAATCTGCTCAGTTACTGGGATTTTCAGGCACAACCATTTCTAGGGTTTACAAAGAATTGTGTGAAAAGGGAAAAACATCCAGTATTCGGCAGTCCTGTGGGCGAAAATGCCTTGTTGATGCTAGAGGTCAGAGGAGAATGGGCCGACTGATTCAAGCTGATAGAAGAGCAACTTTGACTGAAATAACCACTCGTTACAACCGAGGTATGCAGCAAAGCATTTGTGAAGCCACAACACGCACAACCTTGAGGCGGATGGGCTACAACAGCAGAAGACCCCACCGGGTACCACTTATCTCCACTACAAAAAGGAAAAGAGGCTACAATTTGCAAGAGCTCACCAAAATTGGACAGTCGAAGACTGGAAAATGTTGCCTGGTCTGATGAGTCTCGATTTCTGTTGAGACATTCAGAGTTGAGTCAGAATTTGCCGTAAACAGAATGAGAACAACCATCATGCCTTGTTACCACTGTGCAGGCTGGTGGTGGTGGTGTAATGGTGTGGGGGATGTTTTCTTGGCACACTTAGTGCCAATTGGGCATCGTTTAAATGCCACGGCCTACCTGAGCATTGTTTCTGACCATGTCCATCCCTTTATGGCCACCATGTACCCATCCTCTGATGGCTACTTCCAGCAGGATAATGCACCATGTCACAAAGCTCGAATCATTTCAAATTGGTTTCTTGAACATGACAATGAGTTCACTGTACTAAAATGGCCCTCACAGTCACCAGATCTCAACCCAATAGAGCATCTTTGGGATGTGGTGGAACGGGAGCTTCATGCCCTGGATGTGCATCCCACAAATCTCCATCAACTGCAAGATGCTATCCTATCAATATGGGCCAACATTTCTAAGGAATGCTTTCAGCACCTTGTTGAATCAATGCCACGTAGAATTAAGGCAGTTCTGAAGGCGAAAGGGGGTCAAACACAGTATTAGTATGGTGTTCCTAATAATCCTTTAGGTGAGTGTATATATATATATATATATATATATATACACATATGTAAATTAATTGTGTATGTGTATATATATATATATATATAATCTTAATAATGTCAACACCTGGGAAACAGGCAGTTTTTATTTATTAATGCGTTTCACCACAATTTGCCTATAACACAGCTTACAAATCTACTTAGAATAGATTAATGTCGCTTTTTGTATAGTTTTCAGTGAAATGTCATCCATCAGAGCATCTGCCAGTTACTTCAGAGATATTGGAGGGGGAATCTGCTTCTCAATCTTTTCTCTAAAACTGCTCACATTGGTTCAGTGATATTCAAGTCAGGTGATTAAGCTGGCCACAGCAGATGTTGAAGTTCATCTTGGTGCTCCAGCTGTCCAGGTTTTATGATTATTAATGGCACCATCTTTTCCAAATATTAGCATTGAGCCTGTGATTAAAGTTTTAGCAATTGTGGCTCTTTCATGGATGTTGGCTTCTAAAAGTTCTCTATGGTGTGAAATCAGAGAGAAAGAGACAAAGATAGAATGCCATACTTACTGTTCCTCTAGTAAATAAGCTAATGTTGTTTGCTCTTCAAACTTGCACACACATTAGATAACCAAGAGATCATAATGTGCTAAAACCCTAATGTGCTTTCAACTCTTCAGCCCTGTCTGCCTTAATTTCCTGTTTGTCAAGCTTTGACAGGTACATGTTGTACCACCAACTGTATATATAAATGTAAACAAATAATACCTGATCACTCACATAAACACGCACACATATTTATGTCAGCACCAGTACTGTTCTACAGGAAATAAAAAACACAAATTAGATCTCTTTAATATTTCTCTAAGACTTGATTGAAGATCTTAATGTCTCAAACTGTGTGCATTTCTCACCTAATTCTCCTAAAATCTAATTATCTGGGCTATATTCACATTAATTTAACAGATCAGTATTGTGTTTTATCATTTGTTTCTGTTGTATTTCTCACAAGGAAGACGAAAAATATAAGACTGTTGATACTTCTTGTATTTAAAAAATAATAATAAAATAATCACATTGCAAGTTTAATTTAGAGAATGTGGTGAACTTATCTGCTCAGAAACAAATGATCACACATTTTTAAATAAGTTATATATTACATGAAAAAATAAGTTGAATGTGCAAATATCAGTTGCCAAAACAAACCAAAAAATTATCAGCAAAAAATCAACTAGCTGTTCATAAATGCATTATTTATGAATAATGAATTACAATTAAAATTGTATGTATTGTTTATTTAAAAAAAAAGTGAACTGCAGTGCATTTAGGGACACACTTTTTCTGTAGTAGTTCTTTGTTGATTGGACACAATCTTTCTTAGTGTTCGATGGTCCCTATCATTCACTTTTGGTTTTCGCCAAAGCAAGTCTTGCCATGCTTTGTGTACAAAACTGTTGCTCTTAAGAGACCAAACAATTGGGCTGTTAAGGTTGCAAATGCTCCTGCTAAACGGGTTCCCATGATTGTCCTCTCTAGAAGTCTGAAAATTACCCTTTTTACCATCCACTTGTACTAATCACTGCTGAACACAACTTAGACAACACTATACTATATACAACTTGTCTTAGAGTATATAGAGAATGAAAAGATAATAGCAATCTTTATTTTTTTTCCCTGTAGCCTAAATTACATGAACCCTTTGGCTGTTCACATTATTTTGTTCAACCCCTGTACATGCACGTACAAAAGCATATCTCTTATCTGCAGTCACCTGCCATCTTCTATCACCTGCCATCAATCTTTAATGGGTTCAGAGAGCACTCCATGATCAAATGTCAGGCTGAATGGCAAAACACGGCCCAGTGGGGATATGTGGGGGCAGATTTTAAAGGAAGGAGCCTGACAGTTTCTATCATCATTGTATGATGCCACCGAGTGCACCTTGGAAAATAGCAAACATTATCCACTCAAAAGTGACAGATTCTAATAAAGAGCTGAAAGGTAAATTAATTCACAGGCACGAGTCAAAATAAACGCTTCTCCGTGCAGACCAAATAATCAGGCAGCTATTCATGGATGGCGTCATCATGGGACATTATCAAAATGCCAGGCTGAGAAAATAAAACAATTAGTCCATGCAAAAGATATGTAAAACAAGTCATAAAGAGGTTTTGGAGTGTGGCTGCAATCATTGCAATAGAGGAGAGAGCCTTAGCAAAATTCCATATTAATTCATGGTGGCATCCAAAAAGTGATAATTATTGCTAATCCTTTCGCACTTCAATTCAACTGCAGAACCACTTACATGATTCAGTAAATGGACTCCAGTGTGCGAAAGAACCTCAGCGATTACCATTAATAATAATCTCAAAGTTTATACACACTACCTGCAGTGTATCTTCATGACAGATTTATTATCAATTGGTTTTAGTACTTAGCAATAAGTGTACTTCCTGTAGAAAGACACAATGGTTAAGTTGCAATTCCCCCTCCCAATAGAATGGAAACTTACCATATTATACAAAACTATCATTCTACATTGCACATTATATGCCACATTAGGCACACTTACCAGGCAGAGCGTGACTGATCTTAATTTAAGCAGACGTAACACCTTGTCTGGCAAGAGGTCATTTGAATACTCAGGAGCACAGCAATTAAATAAATTCCCAGTGGGCATTAAATGTAAATCCAACAAGGTAGAGTTTAGCTTTAAGCATTTTCATACATATATTAAATATGTTTAATTTATATTAACGTACACTGCCATTCACAGGTTTGGGCTTGGGCTTAAGATTTTTTTAATGCTTTTGAAAGAAGAATTTTATGGCCACCAAGACAGCATTTATTTGATCAAAATTACCGTAAAAAAACAGTAATATTATTATAATTTAAAATAACAATTTCTATTTAAATATATTTTAAAGTATAATTTACATAATTTTCAGCAACCAGTGTCACATGATCCTTCAGAAATCATTCTAATATGCTGATTTGGTGCTCAAGAAACATTTCTTAATATTATCATCAGAGTTGCTATCACTTTAAGAGTTGCAAAGATTCAATATAGTTACATATGCCTGCAGCACTGAAAACAGCGCGTGAGTCGTCTCTCACTTGAATGGTTTAAAATCACATTAAAATCACTTTTTCTGTACGCACGTTTTGGATGTGTGCAGCACATAAAACAGCGTGTGAGTCGTCTCGCGCTTAAATGGTTTAAAATCACATTAAAATCACTTTCCTTGAGCGCGCTTTGGGTGTGTGTGCAGCACACAAAACAGCGTGCGAGTAGTCTCACGCTTGAATGGTTTAAAGTCATATTGAAACGCTCACAAAGGAATCGATAAGATAAATCAATTTTTCCCGATCTCAAGTCAACAACAATTAATATCTTCATTTGGGGAATTTCTCCTTAAACATATGCATATACTGTATATAATTAGTTTGATTAATCAGCATATAATTTTATTAAATCTTACCACAAATTCAATTTCATTTTTAAAAATCAACTGACAGCCACAATTTAATCCTTATCTTGCTTGAACACATTGCATTACTTTCATGCTTTTATACAAATCCCGACGATGTGTGTGATATTGTGTGTATTTACCAGCCCGTGGCTCCACCGTTCTGTTGCTATTCGGGTCCATGAAGACAAACCGTCCGCCACCAAACTCCAAACCATAATCGGACAGGTAGAGCAAAGATGTGTAGTCAAAAGATCCATAAGTCTCCTGTTAAAAAAAATGCACATTTTAAACCCCATGAACGTTTCTTTTCGGTAAAAACCTCAAAAGAAAAATCTCAGCATGAGCCTAAAGCACTAATTAAGATGTTTTAATAATTAATCTTAGTTGGATGGGGAGAACCAAATGGATCATGACGTGATGTGTAATGGGGTTTTTAGTTGTCTTAAAACAATCTAATCTCTGCTGATTGACAAATGTTTTAATTAATTTTTAATTGCTGCAATTTTTATAATGTGGACGAGTAAAAATAAAAATGCATAAATTAAAAAAAAAGCCCTCAAGTAAAACTGAAGATTTCCTGGCTTAACGAAAAACAGTGGTATAATTTAATAGCATCCCTGGGACTTTAAACTCTGCTCTGCTTTATGAGGGAAATCTATTTAGTGATCCCAAACCACACAGGCGTCACTTCTCTGCATGTCGGATCACACTTTTAACTACTTTAATCTAATCTAGGGTTTAAGACTGGCAGTATTCTGGCAACGGCACTTTGTTTCCAGTGGTTTTTCAGAGACGGATTAATGAGGAATATTCCACACACCTACCGCAGAGGGAGTACATTCAGCATTTGAGACGCTTATTTGCTTTTATTATTCTACCAATGCCAAAATATCATCCCACAACCCATATGGACAAACCCTACCAGCACAGCACATTATCACTTTGGCGTAATGCATTTCTGACTAAACACGAGCCGATTCAAGTGAATTGTAAAATTGTATAAGCAAATGACAGATGATGACGCAATGTGGACAATTACATTTCAAAAACAAACCAATAGGTGCAGCCACAAGCTACAACAACCTTCTCAATCTGTTTATCTTTTTGCCTCTCATCCAACATGAAGAAATCCAAAACACAAAAGCAATTTATCTTCCATGTAAGCAGTTTATTCCTCTGTGTTACAGCCAAGCACGTAAACCTTCCCTGCAAAGTGAAATGATCACTTTGATTAAAATCACCCTGATGGCCACATTCATAAACGCACAACCAACTCCGAGATCAAAGGTACTTCTAAAGACCAGACATAAATTAACTTGGACTCGTTTTTAAATCCCCTCAAGACCTAATTTCAACAGCTATAGAGTTATGTAGGAACATTACACTGATTCAAAAATAAATCATGTCTTTTAAAGGCAATGTTGTTGCGATTTTAAGTCTGGCCAAATAAAGAATTCAGGTCCTAAACATGCTGTACCAAACATTGTTTTGGGTGCATATATTGCTGAGCACTTCCATCTTTATGCATGAGAAAAAACTGAGAATAGTCTCAAATATGCTAAAACCATAAGAGCCAGTGGCGTACCGCAAGTCCTGGCCCCTCCTGGGGCTCGTTATGCACGATTATTTACAAGCACGTACACTAAAACCCTATTGGAATTGTTGTGATTTTCAAAGATCAACATTCTGCTTTAAAAGTGATCAGGCAGACCGTAGAGTCTTAACACTTTGAGGGATGGTAGTACCCACCCGTCTACAACATAACCAAGGCTTGCCCCGATCGGCCTGATGGTAGCGGTACAACGATCAAAAGTATGAAATCTCTCATAACTCCTAAACCATCAGTCGCATACTAACTTATATCATTGGAATCCTTGGCTCAGTCTGTGGTCATGTGGAAAAAGGACGCAGCGACTGGCCACTTGGTGAATTAAAATTTTTTTTTTTTTTAAATTTAAAAACACGAAAACAGCTATAGCAACAGTCATTCTGAATGATTTGAAAACTGGCATGTGGTGTCTTTGTCCAAGGTGTCGTGATGGTCTATGAGGACATTCACACATCTCTAAAAACAAGGCCACTGTCGGCCAATGAATTTTGAGCAACTGTTACATAAGGTTAATAGAGACTGATTAAAAAAACAAAACAAAAAAACTCACTTTTTTGAGTTAAAAAAATCACTTGGCTTGTTTGACTCATGGCCCAAGGTCCCAGGTTTTTTGCTCAACCTCTATAAAAGCACAGTACAACTCTCTGGACTCTCTAGGTCAATAATAATAATTTTAAATTTTTTTTGAACTTTAGCATTTGGATAGCTATAACAGGGTAATTTATAAAATGGCCGTGGCCAAGTGTACCCAAAAGTCTATCAATCCTAAACGAAAACTCAGAAATTCACGAAATTAGGTGAGCATATGCAACATATGATTCTAAAGAGGCATGCAAGCTTTTATGGAGATAGGGACTTAGGTGACACTATAACTGTTAAAAGGGTATAAAATGCAATATTTCTATGGCAAATCACATGATCTTGCTGAAAATGGTCTTTTTTCGTGTCTGATTTACATAGAACATTCACAAAAATAGGTGAGCATAAGCGACTTACGATTCTAAAGAAGCTTGCAAGCTTATGGCGTTTGGGCCATAGGTGGCATTATAACTGTTAAAAAGCTAAAACACTGGGGGGAAAACCTGATAAAAAAACATATTTCCTAAGTAAATTTCCTATATTGGCTGTAAATAGTTTCTTCCATCTATGATCTAGGACGGTGGTTACAGGCTTAAAACATAATACCTTTTTACGCATGTGCTTAAAGGCCTTAAAGCAATTGAATCCCGATAACTATATAGCTGAAAGCTGAAGTTATAGTTATATAGCCAGCTCTTAAATAATACTCTTTTTATGTTGCCAGTTCGGTTCTGAAATATTTTTTGTTAACGTTTCAAGTCAGTCTTTTAGAAAGCATAAATGTCTCATCAATCAGCATGTTTCAGTGCAAATCAATAAAATAACATTACAGTGTGTGATTCATTGTTCCCTGTGATTGTGATTCATGTATAGAATACATCTGTGCAGCATTAAAAATTAAAACGTATATTTGCCACTTTAAAATCAAATTCAACTATTATATAAATGGTTCATGAAGCCGGGCACCACAGGGCTGTGGGGATCTCCCATACGCCAGTAATTGGGGTTGAGTGCCAATTAATTTCATATCTGTAATAATTAGCTGATGCGTGGTTACATCATGAATATAATATTAATGTAGTTCCATTATTCATATCCAAATCCATTTGTGTTTGCTATAAATACTTGTCTAGGGAGGCAAATCTTTAAAGTTCTGCTTTATTTCAAGTCACTGAACTAATTTGATGTGAAACATTATTTATAAATGTCAACTTTGTAATAATATTGCCAATTAAAACTAGTTCAAAACATCTGAGCCCTGAGATACCAATGTGATTGGCAGTTTCAGAACACTGGTCATAGAGTAAACATTAGTTCTTTCACATTCCTAAGATATGATTTAAAAGCTAGATGTTAAACGTTTTCTTGGATGTGCCGGTTACCTTGTCGATATGTGGGTGCCAGTACTCATCATGAGTGGTTTTGGCAGAGGTGCTGTTGATGCAAGAGAAGAAGGTGGGCTTGGTGAGATACATCTGTTTGGAGTCCAGACCAAACGTCTCAGCTATCGCCTTTTGAATTCGGCCACGAACATCCCTGGTTTAAAACGGAGCACATAAAAATTATTTATATAGTTGCCATAAGCTTGTGGTACTTTTATCCATCCATATCCATAATAGGCATTACAAAACCCACAGATTTTCTAAACAACTAGTTGGTGGGCAAACTATTTTTAACTTGACACATTGTCATAAAAATGCCAATGGTTTAAAACCTACATGAGTCACAATGCAATGATCAAATGTCTCTCTGCAGGTGTATAGTTAAAGTGACAATGACAAAACTAAAAAGAAAAAGCACACACAATAAATATTAATTTCAAAATCAAGCAAAATATACATAAAAAAAAACCTTTTTTTTTAAAATACAATAAAATAGACCAATGTTGGACTCATCCAATATTTAAGAACTGAATGATTTGCGTTAATAGATTTTGTCAAAAGAAATGCTTCAAACATTTCCACATCACTCACTTGTATAGTTCAAAATCTTCTTCTGTAAAAACATCCCTTATCTCATTCTTAAAATATCTGTGGATGAAAAAGCACATGGATTGATTTGAAATAAAAATAAATATTTTTGACCAATATCAAACACACCACCTTAAACATTTGTAGGATGGCAGCGATTTAAATAGTGCCGCCGCATCAAAATGCAAGCATCAATAGATACACAGATAGAGGACCAAAATGTCACAACAAGCGTGCCAACACATGCAAGCTGTACAAGTTAAGTGCCAGCACAGTACCAGCCTGTGTGTGGGCACCAAAGTGTAAACCTCATAAAAAGACATGAGAAAAATCTCCAGGTGCAAGAGATGAAGACAAGATCTTTCACAATCGATGCTAGAAAGTCATTCCCATCATTGCCGCCACTGATTTCTGCTCAGCTCCTATGGGGCAGGGGTATACTTTGATGTGCACATGAAACACACTGAGAAATCTGATAGAGCTGTGATTTGGACGGATCAAGCTGTCGGTGGAGTTCAATTGTAGACCACTTCCTGTTAGATGCCGTGTAAATCCACACGGAATACTCACTTATAGATATTAACAAACTGCTTTCCCATCGACAGCGCCCCAGAGTGAAGATCCAGAATGGAGGCCTGTACACAACAAAAATGAACAGAATAAAGACAGTGGAAACACTTTCAAAGTGGAAACAATCAATATTTGACAAAAAAAAAAGCCCAGCTTTCCCTAGTGTCTCTGGGTCTGACTCAACTCCAAAGACAACCACGAAAGGCTTGCAACTACCCGAGTGCTGGACTGTACTGCTGAGGTTGCTGTTATTCAAGCTTCATCATAAGGTCAACAGATGGACTTCTCTCAGCTCTGGTATTCCCTGCTCTCTGTCTCCGCACACATCATAAATCATCATGATGGGGCTGAACTGCTCTTAAAAACTCAGCAGGACCCTCTGTTATACCCTCTTTTAGTTTACTGGTTACACTCTATAAAAGGCCTCTTTGCCTGGTGAGATCCCAAACTAGGTTTCTACCTGAAAAGTTCATTTTATATAACATTATACAGGTATCAGATATTCTCTGTGTCATCCACTGCAGTTAAAATAAAGTGAACACCTCATAAAAGTAATCCACAGTCCTTCCATAAGAGGGGTTCAAAAGTCACCACAAGTGAACATGCTTCAATTTTGCATTTTTCTATACATGAAATGTATAATTACAAATTATATTATAAGTATAAAAATGGGTGAAAGGCTTGAACATCAACATTCAAAAGTTTGGGATCAGTAAGATTTTTTTTAAAGAAATGCATTGCATACTTTTATTAAATTGACAGAAAGTGACAGTAAAGACATTAATAACTATACAAAAGATTTATATTTCAAATAAATGCTGTTTTCTTGTGCTTTCCATTCATAAAAACATCCGAAAAAAAGTACCACGGTTTCCAAAAAAATATTAGTCACATTATTAGTTACATTATTTCTGAAGGATCATGTGACAATGAAGACTAAATTAATGGCTGCTAAAAATTCAGCCTTGCCATCAAATACATTTTAAAATAGAAAAAAGAGTTTGTAATAATATTTCACAATGCTACTGTTTTTAGTGTATTAAGTTTGTAATAATATTTCACACTGCCACTGTTTTTAGTGTATTAAGTTTGTAATAATATTTCACAATGCCACTGTTTTTAGTGTATTAAGTTTGTAATAATATTTCACAATGCCACTGTTTTTAGTGTATTAAGTTTGTAATAATATTTCAAAATGCCACTGTTTTTAGTGTATTAAGTTTGTAATAATATTTCACAATGTCACTGTTTTTAGTGTATTTTTTAACAAGTTCATCGCCATTCCATGCCACTATAGCAGAAACACCAACAAATCACTTAAGGAAAACAAATCAAACTTTAGCTGCTTAACTATTTTCTTATATTCACTCTAAATTGTTTCTGGTGCATTATTTTACACTTGTACTTTCTACTATTATCTTTTTAGTATTTTACCATTTAGCCACAGAGTGATGAACTAGTGAGTTGAGCTTAATCTGTTACGAATGTAAAATGCAATTTCACCACTGGCAATGTCACACGCTGTTCCCATCACACGCTGTTCCCATCAAACATTCAATAGTTGCTTCCAGAATCTGCCACCCATTGAATGTGAATTCTCAAATGCACTCTTAATGAAAGTGCTTTCCTGTAGAAACTCAATCATACCAAACAATATGGTGACATCATAATGGAAAAGAAGTTTGCTTTTGAATTCCAGCTGAAGTCACAACCATAGTGTGTACTGCCCTCTTGTGTTCTCAAGCAGCTGCTTCCTTGATAGACCAACATGCAGAAATTTTTAAACACGGATGCAAGCATATGAAGAGTTTCTACTCACACCCCCATCTGAGCCAGCAAGTGATAACCCCCGCTCACCTAACCTGTGGAATTAGAGGGGAAACATGCATTTATGCATGTATACTTCCATTCAAAAGTTTGGAGTTAAGATTTTTTTCTTTTCTTTTTTTAAGGACGACACATTCAATTGATCAAAAAAGACAGCAAAGACATTTTCAAAGACCCGTTCACACCAATAACGATAACTATAAATATAACAATAACCATATTAGCATCCACACCACCGGACGATATCGTTCTATTTATTATAAGCACGCTGCAGTTTTGTTGTTTGCTGCTTTAAATTCCCGAGCTCTTTAAAGCATGATGGATTCTGATTGGCTGTCAGAGTTTTTATCGTTCATCAGCTGAAAAAAAATCATTCTGAAAGTGATTCCAACTATATAGTTTCTCGATGCCGTTATCTGTGACGTGTGGACTCTGCTATTCTTTTATATCTAGAATTATTATAGAACTATATCTTTATCATTGTAGTTATCGTCCTTGGTGTGAACGCGCCTTAATGTTATAAAAGATTTTCAAATAAATGCTGTTCTTTTGAACTTTCTATACACTTTCAGTATCACGGTTTCCACCAAAAATATTAAGCAGCAAAACGGTTTTCACATTTGTAATACTGAGAAATGTTACTCGAACACCAAATCAGCATATTATAATGATTTCTGAAGGATCATTTGACACTGAAGACTGGAGTAATGTTTAAAATTCAGCTTTGCCATCACAGAATATGAATCCCCTAAAGGAACATGGTTATGAAAAAAAATGAGATGGGAGGAAAAATTATATGTACATGCATTTGCATTGTTTTTGCAAATGTCCCACCGAAAAACTTTCCATTCTTTCGCAAAACTTTCGTAAAAAAAAAAAAAAAAAAAAAACCTTAAGTACTTTGCGAGGGAACAACGCTTTTTTTTGAGGGGAATAAACTTTTTTCCGAGGGAATGCAAAGATTTTGAAAGCAAACAATTTCTCGGGGGAACGCAAAAGTTTTACAAGAGAACACAAAAGCATTGAAATAAATTTTTTCCTCACATCCCATTGTTTTTCCAGCACATTGTCCCTTTAGGGGCTCGGTATATAAATTAAAATTCCAAATAAATGCAGCCTTGTTGAGCATACCAGACTTCTTTCAAAAACATTAAAGATTCTTCCCGACCCCAAGCTATTGAACGATAGTGTATACATTTTGATGTATGTCTGTGTGAATGTGTACCTTCTAAGCTTCTGTGCCTCCTCCAAAGTCACCACACTGTCTGAAATAGCTCTGCCGCATTTTGTCGGGGTGCAACCTGAGGACAGAATGCATTAGCCGTTCATATCGATTCATTAATTATAACACCAATTAAAGTAACTGGCTCTACGCCTCTGCCAAATTTTCTCTTCAAACTGCATATTCAATGACGCATTCAGCGAGGCAGCTTGTCTTGCAAAATGTACTGCATAATGACTCTGAAGTTTATTCCAGCATCCTCTCAGAGAGGAAACGCTTTTGGTCAGGCAACATTCAAAGTGGGGTGTTCAGTTCACAACAAGGCTCTAAGTCCAATCAAATTCCACAGTATACAGTATTTTGGCATAGATTCATATGCCACTTGGTAGAATCCAGTAGGAATTCCTGGAGGGATTTGTAAGACCTACCAGCAAAATGGCTACGGTTGGCTTCGGGACAATATATTTTCCTGAACATATTGCCTCTTTCCCAGAGTTTATTTGCGCCCGTCTTAAAGAGAGTGGTATGAACTAGAGCCAAGGGGACGCTTGTTTATCCCGGCGCTTGCTTTGTTCGTGGAGCGTACAGCTTTTTGAAGCTGGTGAGAGGTTCGGTAATGAGTCCTATGTGGGAGGCTTCAGACTGTCAATCACAGCTCTGCCTCCTCAACAACCTTCCTGATTTACTCCGATGGAATGCACAGGTGCTGGCTTTGTTCAAGCAAAGCTTTCTACTCCTAAAAGTGGTTTGGGAGCAGGTTTCCTCTGATACAGCAATGCCCATTAGTTCAAAGTATTTTCATAAACTTTTGGATAAATAACTTTTTCCCCTCTTGATTTTTACACTAACTGGACACTTTTTAGATAAACCTTGCTTGCATCGGGTTGGACCGCCTTTTGCCTTCAGAACTGTCTTAAATCTTTATGCCATAGATTCAACAAGGTGCAGGAAACATTCCTCAGAGATTGTGGTCCATACTGACATGACAGCATCACACAGTTGCTGTAGATTTGTCATCTGTACGCAAGTCTCCCATTCCACTCTATTGGACTGAGATCTGGTGACTGTGGAGGTCATTTGAGTATAGTGAACTCAGTCATGTTCAAGAAACCAGTTTGAGATGATCTGAACTTTGTGACGGCGTGTTATCCTGCAGGAAGTAGCCATCAGTAGATGGGTACACTGTGGTCATAAAGGGATGGACATGGTCAGCAACAAAACTCAAGTAGGCTGTGGTGTTTAAACGACGATCAGTTTCTATTAAGGGACCCAAAGTGTGCCATATGTCCCCCACACCATTACATCACCACCATCAGCCTGAACAGTTGATGCAAGGCAGGATGGCTCCATGCTTTCATGTTGTTTATGCCAAATTCTGACCCTACCATCTGAATATCTCAGCTGAAATCAAGACTCATCAGACCAGGCAACGCTTCTCCAGTCTTCCATTTTAGTGTTTTTGTTTTTCTGACAGCACTCATTTTAGTGAGGCCATGCAAACTGTAGCCTCAGTTTCTTGTTCTTAGCTGAAAGGAGTGGCACCCTGTGTGTCTTCTGCTGCTGTAGTCCTTCTGCTTCAAGGTTTAAAGTATTGTGTGTTCAGAGATGCTCTTCTGCAGTCCTCAGTTGTAATGAGTTGAGTTACTGTTGCCTTTCTATCAGCTCGAACCAGTCTGGCCATTCTCCTCTGACATCAAGGCATTTTCCCCTGAAAGAACTGCCGCCACCGGGATATTTTGATCCTTTTTTGGACCATTCTCTGTAAACCCTTGAGATGGTTGTGCATGAAAACTTCAGCAGATCAGCAGTTTCTATACTCAGACCAGTCCGACTGGCACCAACAACCATGCCATGTTCAAAGTTACTTAAATTACCTTTCTTTCCGATTCTGATGCTCAGTTTGAACTTCAGCATATCGTCTTGACCATGTTAACATGCCTAAATGCTTTGTTACATTGCTGCCATATTTGCATTAACAAGGAGTTGAACAAGAGTACCCAATAAAGAGGCCAGTGAGTTTATAGTACAATATCATATATATATATATATATAGACTATCTCACAAAAGTGAGTACACCCCTCACATTTCAGCAAACATTTTAGTATATCTTCTCAAGGGACAATACTATAGAAATTAAACTTGGATATATTTTTTAGAGTAGTCAGTGTGCTGCTTGTATAGCAGTATATATTTACTGTCCTCTGAAAATAACTCAACATACAGCCATTATTGTCAAAATAGCTGGCAACAAAAGTGAGTACACCCTAAGTGATAATAGCTGTACGTCGTTTAACCATGCAAAGCCACATGTCCTATTCATCATTTTCATGTTTTTGTCTGCTTGACAGGACCATACAAATTTGTGTATCTTGTATTAGAGCAGTTCAAATTGGTGCTTTGAGTACAATTCTCTCATACTGACCACTGGATGTTCAACATGGCACATCAAGGCAAAGAACTCTAAGGATTTGAGAATTATAATTGTTGTTCTCCACAAAGATGGTATAGGCTATAAGAAGATTGGTAACACCCTGAAACTGAGTTACAGTACTGGCCAGGGTCATACTGAGGTTTTCCAAGACGGGTTACACTTGGAACAGGCCTCGCGAGGGTCAATCAAAGAAGTTGAGTCCTCGTGCTGAGCGTCAGGTGCAGAAGCTGGCTTAAAAACAGACGCATGAGTGCTGCTAGCATTGCTTTAGAGGTTGCAGAAGCGGAAGGTCAGCTTGTCAGTGCTCAGACCATACGCCGCACACTGCAACAAGTCGGTTTGCATGGCCGTCATCCCAGAAGGAAGCCTCTTCTGAAGCTGGCTTACAAGTAAGCCTGCAAACAGTTTGCTGAAAGCAACCTGTCCAAGAGCATGGTTCATTACTGGAACCATGTCCTGTGTCCTGATGAGACTAAGATAAACTTGTTTGGCTCAGATGGTGTCCAGCATGTGTAGCGACGCCCTGGTAAGGAGTACCAAGAAAATTGTGTCTTGCCTACAGTCAAGCATGGTGGTGGTAGCATCATGGTCTGGGGCTGCATGAGTGCTGCTGGTACTGGAGAGCTGTGCATCATTGAGGGAAACATAGATTCCAACATGTACTGTGACATTCTGAAGCAGAACATGATGCCCTCCCTTCAGAAACTGGGCCGAACGGCATGATAACGACCCCAAACACACCGCCAAGATGACAACTGCCATACTGAGGAAGCTGAAGGTGATGGAGTGGCCAAGTATGTCTCCAGACCTGAACCCTATTGAGCACCTGTGGGGCATCCTCAAGTGGAAGGTGGAGAAGCGCCAAGTGTCTAACATCCAGCAGCTCCGTGATGTCATTATGGAGGAGTGGAAGAGGATCCCAGCAACAACCTGTGCAGCTCTGGTGAACTCCATGCCCAGGAGGATTAAGGCAGTGCTAAATAACAATGGTACTCACACAAAATATTGACACTTTGGACACAGTTTTGACATGTTCACTTAGGGTGTACTCACTTTTGTTGCCAGCTATTTTGACAATAATGGCTGTGTGTTGAGTTGTTTTCAGAGGACAGTAAATGTTAATACACATTTATTATATTTTCCTCTACAAAAGTAACAATACATGTAAATGCATGTTAATGTCACAGTTAAACTATAAAAATACTTGCAAGGTAGCAAAATGAAATATAGATTGGATAAGTATACAAAAGACCTCTTCCAGTTCAATATGCAAACAATCACAATAACATAGTGGTTGAAAAGTATGGACATATTCGTGTTGGTAATAACTTTGCTCAAGAAGGGAAAAAAGTTAAATGACAGTTTAAGTATTACAACTTTCATTTGACTTTTTATTCCTCAATTTATATATTATAAATATTACTTATTTATAATATATAAAATTATATTTTCTCTAAAAGAAAAAAGCAACTCTGTAAAAAAAAAAAAAAAGCATACTAGCCAAGTAGCAAACGAATTGTAATAAAATATGAATACAAATAGAGAGAGTTTGACAGTAATCATAGATGTATACACTAGATGTCGCCTTGGCGACGGCAGTTCATTGGAACGAATGCGTCAATAGAGCCGCCATCATGGAACAGGTGAGCCCCTCCTCTTTAATGCATAAGCGTCAATGTAGGCAAAGGTCTAACGGAAATAAAATCATAAATCGTCATGAATGCGATTTTCTAGTTTTTTGGTTCGTTCCAAAGGTCAGACATGTATTTATCATTGAGTCCAGAGAAAATTAAAAAAACAAAAACAAATTTTTAAACCATTCTTCCTAGTTCAGATTTCATTTGTGTGAACATCCATACGCAGCACAAAAGTCCGAAAATCCTTGAATTCGAAGTGCAGGCGGAGATAGCAGCGTTACCTAGCTACTTCCTATGACAAGACCCCTGTTCCAAGATGGCGGCGGTTTTGGCGCATGCTTAGAGCCCCAAGGCGACATCTAGTGTATATATCTATGGACAGTAATATGTAGTATAGGCCTAGATAAAAATATAAAAAGATCAATTACAGTTCAATATGCAAATTTCACAATAACATCATCATTATTGCATGTTAAATTGATAAAACCCAGAAATGCACACCAAAACCAATAACAATTCCCAATAAAGTTTGCAATGTAGTCTGCACTTTGAGGGGATGAAGCTCAGTCAATGGAAGAAGAACCACTAACATACCTGGGAATAGCTTGTGCTCCTTGTAGTCTTCAGAGCAGTCCACTGTGAACACTCTGGGCTGAGTGAGGATTTCACCTCTTGACACCAAAGTGTGAGTAAAGTCATCAGTCCATGTGAAATACACCAGGCTCACTAGTCCAGTGACTCCTATCAACAGCAACAGCGTGGGCCAGTTACCTCTCCATGAAGAGGCCTGTCTCTGCGCATTTCCCCTGAATGAACACACCATATAAATACAGCCTAAGAACACAGGTCGCATAAATACAGCCTAAGAACACAGGGCGATGATAGACTGTCAGGTGTGAATTTCTTTCTTTCTTTTATCCATTCATTTGACTTTGTCAGATTGCACAACGAAAGGAACATGATAAATACATTTATTTTCCGCTATGCAGGGAGTATTCCGCATGTAAACAAGGATTTGAAGCAACATAACTCATTATTTGCTGCAAGGCAAAGTCAATGTGTGCTCATAAAGTTTCAGAAATTGAAAATCATTAACGTTACCTCTTAATTTTCTTTTCAATGGCGCTACTTTCTGGGTTTTTACTGATTACTCGTCGTTGTACAGTCATGTTTAATACATATACCTGTCTGCGTGCATCAACATAACACGTGTATGGTTTCGTTTCACTCAATGTTTGTCTACTCTACTGAACTGCCCCATACAAGTTCAGAGTGAAAGCGCCCGGAAGGACGTCAAACACCGGATATTTATATTGTCAAAATAAAAGTCTTACCGGTAAACAGATTGGATGGCACTCTGTTGTGTCGTGAGACGGGATTTAAATTATTTATATGATTCGAATAAATAAATCTATGTTCGAAGCTTCAAAAAAAGGAAAAAAAGAACCAATGAATTATTACAAGACCTTATGCAGGTTTAAGTCATATACTGCATCCCAATGTGCATACTATGCCCTAAATACCAATGTCACATACTATTTAGGATGGATAGTATGCACATTGGGACTGAAAACCTGAGGGTCGCTTTTTTCTTTTATTTTCAAAATAAAGGTTACCATCCACATAGGGTTAAGTTGTGGTACATGTTCTTAATATTATTGTTTTTATCGGTTGTTAAAATCTAAATTAATATTACCATTTCAACAGGCTGGCAAAGGTATTAAACCCAACCTGATCAAATTGTATTATTATATGGTTTATTCAAATAAACTGTAATATGAACTAAGAGAAATGTACGCTACTCACTTATTCACCCAACTACCAAGGTTGTTCAGTTGTTGTTTTATTATAATTGAGATAATTTCTTTAATGTAATTATTTTTTCGGTCCCATCAGTTCTGTCTGCCATAAATCTTTCAGCAAGAAATACAAAATAATACATTAACGCTTTTGTATTGTTATCAAATATAGCAATTGAGCTGGTTTGATTTTAAAGTGTCACTTACACAACTGACTAAAAACGGTTTCCCAGTGATTTTTTTTACTCATTTGAGAATCTAATAAATTATGTGGTTATTGTTTTTCTATTTGAAAGGGGTGTACATTAATATTGCTTTATTAGCAACAAGATTTTGGGTAATTTTATAAAGTTCTCATGAACAAAAGTCCTTGTGATTTAGTACTCCATCTTAATGTACAGTATTTGATATGAAAATCCCCAAATACTTCAAAAGAAAACACATTGCATAACAAACGTGCATATACTTCCACATAAAGGGAAATTGCCCTGTATTTATACCCATGTACACATAAGAGATAAGGATAATTTCCCTCAAAACCAGTAATGTAATCAAAACACTTTAATTAGTGAACAGGCCAACTCATACAAAAATAAAACAGTCACTTTCCTCAAACTGTAATATGCCTATACCAAGATTTCGATGGTTGAAATGTTGAGCTTTGATAATGGACATTTGTGACCCAAAAAAAAAAAACATTACTTTCCAAAGTGTTTATTCTCTCACTAAATTTTCGACTGTTCAAAGCTAGATCGCCACTACAAATCAATCACAATCACATGCAGGAAGCTCTCAAATCAACACTGGACTTTAAAAAGTCTTTTAAAAACACCATTCTCCCATAAGAACTTTTATAATTCCACACTAAACAGAATAAATGAGAACATAAATAATTTTTTTTGCAAAGGATGTGTGAAATTATACATTTACAAGAAAATCGATAAGATAAAAAAAAAGTACAAAACATTGAATTTTAAAATAATATGAGTATTTAACTTATATATAATGGTCTATTGCTGGCAAACTAGAAATGGAGTTTGCATCGAGATACTGATCAGGGGAAAAATTAATGAACGATACAAGAATAAACTTCAGTACAGTGGGAAAATTATCTTTTAATCAAAGATGACTAAAACCTTTGTACGATTGGGCCATTTAATATAACCAACCTAACTTGGCAAACAGTACACTGTAAATACAAAACCGTAAAGACGGCAGGTATACTGTAAAAGTAAACAGCAAACAATACCCTTGATCATACTAAATTTTCTAGTGAGTGTGTGTGGTAATATGATTGGCAACTGTGCTTATTACAGAGCCTCTTTATTACAGGCAAGTTCCTTTGAATCTCTTACCTACAACAATCAGATAATGTGCGTCCATAAAATGAGAAAAAAAGATATGCACTACAGCAAACAACCGATGAACCGCCGACAACCGAAACCAGGAGTCTCTGTATCACAAAGTTGCTGTAATTAAAAAACTTTAAATGTAGAAGAGCTATACATTTCTACATGACATTTTAGGATTTTATTGTAGTTGTACAACATTCCCTGATGGCCTGTGTTGGCCGTTGAGAGATACAGAGAAGAACAACAAAAAGGTCAGAAGATCAGAAAGATGAAATTGTCCATTTGAAAGAAAAGAAACATTAAAAACTCTCAACTGGGGAACAAGTAGATCTTGCTCAATGTTGTCCCTTTTTGCTGTGAAAAAAAAGTTCCACATGTTGGCCATACACGCATACACACGGGCAAACTCACACGCATACAACCATTTCACACAGTAGCAGCTTCTGACGTTTATTCTGCAGAAGAAGAAAACACAAATACTCATTTAGAAACCAGTTTATGAAATCAGACTGAAGAAACTAATTAGACATTTAACACCTCACCTATGTTAACTTCTTAGCCTTGTTGTACAGTGAATCCACAACTTTGCTCATGTTCTGTATGGTTTCTAGAGCTGCCTCGTAAGTCTTGTCCACAGGCGGCTCCTCAAATATGATGAGCACTCCTTCACCTTGGTCAAGGATTCCTGCAATAGTAGAAATCCAACAGACAAATAAATTGTGCTGTGCTGAGAAAAACCTTTACATAATTTGGTGTTCCCGGTCAAAAATGACCACTTTCAAAAAATTGCTTGTAAATCACTCATAATGCTTATTGGATTCATTCAATTAGCAAAGGTTTTGTATTTATTTTTGGAACTGACTGATCGAAGGCCTCATTATCAGAGGTGGGAGTAAGTCACTAAATGCAAGTCTCAAGTCAAGTCCAAGTCTTAACATTGCAAGTCAAAGTCAAGTCAAGTCATTCTGTTGTAAGGGTCAAGTCAAGACAAGTCCAAGTCTTAACATTGCAGGTCAAAGTCAAGTCATTCTGTTGTAAGGGTCAAGTCAAGTCAAGTCGCAACTTAGTCATCAAGTCATACCAAGTCGCACACAGGCTAGTTTTACACATTTTTTAACTCTGGGACTTTTATTACTTATTTAGACACAGAGGGCTGATGGGTTACAAAAATAAATAAATTAACTTGTGTGTAATAAATAAATTAGCATTAAGAAGCACTTTTAATGCTCTAAAATAAAAATAAATTAAATGAACACAAGTAAACAAGAATTGATACAACTTTTCCCATCTTGTAAAAAAAACCTAAAAAGATATTGCATTCTAAATTAGTACTGTATGCCAAAGTTTGTAAAACATCCAGGTGATTTGATCCCATAACACAAAATATTATATGGAAACTTTAAGAAAACAAATCTAATAATTTAAATGATTTAAACCCGACTATTTTTTAATACGTGGGTCGTTATAACTGACGTTCTCAACTACTTTCTTTCTTACTTTCTCCCGCCCGCAACATTTATGTTTTGTCCCGCTCCCGCTTGCAAAAATACTTTTTTTCTGTAGCCTACCTCCAAATACTTTTAAGTTAGCCTACGTGTCGCCACCATACATATGAGCATAAATGCTCCTGATAAATTATTTGTTATTAAAGCATTAACACACAAACCACTGTTAGACATAAAAGCCCTACTGCGCGCCCTAATTCCTAAAAAGCTGACAGTTCATCGCGATCTCACACATCTCTGTTATTATCAATGAAGCTTTCATAATATATACACTTTGTTTGTTATAATTTGAGGATTTGCCAGCATACAGAATTCATCACTGAACAAAAAGTCCGTTTTGAGCGGTGAGGGGAGTCCATCGTAAATGCTTCTGATTGGCCATTGCGTTCCTAGAAATCAACACATATGTCTGTGATTGGCTACATCGCTCAACGCTGCAAACATGTTAGAAATAGAAACATCTAGCCTGTAAATCGTTTCTATTTTGTTTTAGTTGTTCTTATTGCTTTTCTGCAACAGATGAATAAAAATGTATTAGTTTTTATGTTTTATTCATAGATATTTCTAGTTTGCGGGAGTCCCGCGAATCGTTTTATTCTCCCTCAACCCGCACACACAGAGTGAGTGCATTACCGCCCGCGCTCCCTCTTATGACGAATAAAAAAATACACAATAATTGATTTTTTTTTTTTTCACAAGTCATTTCAAGTAAATAGGCACAAGTCCGAGTCAAGTCTAAAGTCACAAGGAGCAAGTCTAAAGTCAAGTCGAGTCTTTTCAGAGATCTAGTCAAGTAAGTCTCAAGTCCAGAAAATTGCGACTCGAGTCTGACTCGAGTCAAGTCATATGACTCGAGTCTCCCACCTCTGCTCATTATTGATCTGGTCTTATGCAACTTTTGGGTTTTGGGGCGGGTGAATAAGCTTAAGACAACTTTTTTCACATTCAAAACATAAAAATATACAATCTACTCTACTGCAAAAATGTGCATTCTTTTAATTCAGCCAAGAGGTCATGCTGTGACATTGATTTTCTACTGGTTACACGTCTTCACGTGATGCGAATTCACAGGTCAGAGTTCACCAAAGTGAACTTTAAAACACAGCGAAATGCGAAACTTTTTGCATGAGTTTGTGTTTCTGGTCTGACGCCTTCGCATGCATATGAATGGAAGTCAATGAAACCAAATGTGTAGTGTAACCATCCCTTTACATTAATTATTGGAAATAATCACATTATTGGTGCACACATAAACAGTCAATGAGTCCATCGATCAATCGGTTCCAATAAGAAATACAAAACCTGTCCTAATTGAAAAAAAGTTGAGAAGACTGAACACAATATTTGGTAATAACAGTCATTTTTGACACCACACCACAAAATATTACAAAATACTACAAAAAATTATCAAAACATTTTTGGGAAGTTGTTATATCCTGTGTGAGTTAAGTCAGTAGGTTTTAGTCCAATGTGGTAACATTAACTAGCCTTTTTGGATCAAAATGTCTAGAATGTAACATCAAGCTTAAGATATTTTGGCGATATCGTGACTCATTAAATAATTTAGCTATATAGTGCAGAGAGACACAAAATGAATGGGAAGAGAGGGGGACTGGGATCGGTACACATCTCAGGCTGGACTTCAGTCAGTCACCCATAAGCACTATTGGTACAAGATGTCTGCAAAAACCACTACAACATGGCTCTGACATTTTTTAAATTTTACTTGGACTGGTTGTGAATTTTTGTAATGCTCTGCAATAAAATCATTTTTTTTAAATGCAAAAATATAAATGACAAAGAAAGGTAATGACAAAAAAGATAGACTAACCATGAAACTTTTTGTCCAGGATCATTTGTGACAGTTTCCTCTCAACATCATCCTGTGGGCCACAACAAATAACAGATAGAGCATTTTATTTTAGCGATTTTGTATAAATGCTTACATAGATTGTTTCATGTTATATAGTTTGTCATATTTTTGGTTTATGGTGACATTAAAGGCAATGTGATTTCCTAAGCTAATATTACTTTAAAGCTATACACAATACTCTGAATGAGAGTGAAAATCTTCTGAAAAGAAAAGAACAGTTCATACCTTTGAGAGTTTGATGAGACCAGCTATATGTGTAATCTTGAAAAGAGAGAAAAGGACATAAAAATCATAGTAAAATCTGAGTTGTCAGATATATATATATATTGGTCCTTTTGAAATAAAATATTGAATTTCTTAAAGTATTATATTTACAATAAATAACTAAATGATGCACTTAAAGCTGCTGTAGGTAGCTTTTGTAAAAAAATATTTTTTACATATTTGTTAAAACTGTCATTATGTCCTGACAGTAGAATATGAGACAGATAATCTGTGTAAAAATCAAGCTCCTCTGGCTCCTCCCAGTGGTCCTATTGCCATTTGCAAGAAATACACGCTCCCGGTCAGAAACAACCAATCAGAGCCAGGAGGAATGTCTTAGCAGTGTCAATCACGCTCGTGTACGCGCTGATCACACCCCTCTCTTGCACAGCGCGAGCCGTCGTTCAAACTCAAGATTGCCGGCGTGCTGCAGCTGTGCTTATGACGGAGAAACAACCTAAACTGCCAATTCTCGAGTGACACCTGCTCATAAAACAAAGAGGTAAAAGGAAAAAGACCGATGACGATAAACAAGCGAAAAAGAAAGAATTACACAGAGCCCATTGACTCGGTGTCAAAACTCTTGCCGCATAACATGTAGATAAAATGTCACGCACTCTGCTAAGCAACAATTGAAACCTGCTAATTCACTGGCTTGTCATGTTGCTGAAATAATGTACTAGCACACCTTATCTAGCATTATATATCGCTAGAATAATTACTCACATACTGTAACGTTAGTTACCGTTATATTAACGTTATCTTACTAACTATTTATAACTTATAGAAAGAGTGCAACGTTATAAAGTTACATGTAGGCTATTGCAAAATACATAATGATTTGAGGACCAAGTTTGTAGTCAAAGTATGGGCAGGCCATAGTCAATGTAAAGCATATTATTGACGTTTAGTCCCTATTAGTGAATGTGCCATATAACTTTTTATCCGCTGTTATCGGTGGCCCTGTTTACTAGCCTGCGCGTTCACGACAGGCTCCGCTGTGGAGGACGAGCTGTGGAGGGAGGGCTGTAGCGCAGCAGAGAGCAAGGGGGTGGGACCTGTAAGTTGTGCTTGTTCAAATTTTCAGGCTAAGTCAACGTTTTCTCAAAACTCCCTACTGCAGCTTTAAGGCTAAAAATATCTATGAAAGACACACACAACACTACCTGTACTCTGGAAAAAGGCTCAATGACCCGAATGAGGTTCTGTTCCAGCAAATTGTCGTAAAGCTTGGTCAAATGCGTACTGATGATGGGGTCGTCCCTCAGCTCTTTAGTGTACTCTGTCAGGGCCTTCATGTGTGAAAGAGCAACAGAAAGCTGAGCATGACAGAGACCTCCGTTGAAAAATTATATACAGACATCAGTGAAAATCTCACCTTTTCAAAATCTGCTAATGATCTGTTCTTGCTGGCTTGTGCTATACATCTCAGTGCATCGGTCTGATGGAGAAAACAAATTATAGGAGGTATATCACAACTATAAATGAGCACTTGCCTAGAAAGAAAAAGGATTTGTCAGATGTGTAACAGGTTGTTAAAAGCACATGGCCAAACATAAAAGCCTGGTGCACAGAAGAACCATGAAATGCTTCTGTAGAGCATTTGTTTGTAAGCAGTCATTACATCTATAAAAAGACACTGGAATTTGAATGAGCTTACCTGTCGCCCCGCATATCGCAGAGCCAGTTTGCCACTGATCAAGGCCTGTACCTCCTCTGGCCTGGAACAAAAGAATAGAAAATGTCTCATATAATCAATCGCTCTGAGTGAACAACTTCATTTCCTACAGTTCACGTTTATACCCACAATGCACTCTGATTTCGAGCGTACATCCTACGTACACTTGCTTAATCACCATTTCCCAAAAATTCAACGAGGAGAGGACTGAGAGTGTGATTAATTAATAATTTGTTTAATTAATCATTACTTGATTAACATTAAAATATATAGAGAGACAATATTATACAGATGATTTTAAAATTGAATGAAATTATATAAAGTACATTTTTGATTTATATAATATTATTATTATTATTAAAATATACTATTTAGGAGTTTACTTAATTTAATGTGTTTTACAAACAGCCAAGTGTTGTACTAATTCGTGGCATTGTTGTTAACTCACAACACAAAGAAAGAAATTATAATTTAGTGGATGATTTAAAACCATTCGTTAATCACCTGTAGGTTGAGTATTAATTCTAATGTAATCATACTGGTGACCTGAGGGCACTATGTGACCATCATCATGGTCAGTTTCAAGAACTAAAAATACATATATTTAAAAAATACACAAATTAAGCATGACAAACCAAATTAATATGTATTGCATTAATATATACAATCGATGAAACCACAATGTTAGCACAGAGGGATGTATAATTCCATTATAAAGTCATTATGATTGTTACTGTTATTAATATTTTCTAAAGTAAGTTATATTTAAGTAAAAGTAGTTTATGTGACAGCTCCAGCTCTCCGACGCACAGTGTATACGTCAGTGTCCGAATTCACTCACTTTATTTCGTTCACTCCTTGCTGATATAGCAGTGTTCTTCACTATTTTTTCATGAGAGCCACACTGATAGGACAAAGTCAGTAGGAGAGCCAATTTTACCCCAAAGTATCAAAAGTTAAATCCAGTCATAAATACCATGTCTGCTTATCAAGCTGTCATCCCTGAACATACAATATGCAAATACAATAAATACAAATGGGTGGGGGGGGGGAAACATTCTTTATGATTTACCAGTCAAATTCGTAACTGAGACTAGATAATTTCCCTTAATGACAAAAAAGTAGTATTTCCAGAATATATTCATCCCAGAATATATTGACCTTATAGTGACCTTAAGATATTTTTCCTACATTAGCCCATCATGTATCGAACCATTCCAATTGATGAATCTGAATGTATTGTAGTTTCCATGAACGCTAAACACGTGATTGAGTTGATGTGCTTATGTCACAAGCTTTAAATCGGAATACATTTTTTGAGATGCGCGCACACTGCACAAATATACAAAGTTTCCCGCTGTTTGCGCTTAATAACCATTCTCCTACATTGGTTCTTTATTTGTTTTAAACAGCAGACTTAATATTTATCCATTTCTAGTCAATTTGGAGACTATGAACATATGAACCGTTGTGCCGTGCTGTTTGTATTTATCACGCAGTAAAAATGCCCCTTCCAGCGCCCAAAACCAGTTGTCTGTGGATCAGAATCCGAAACAAGGACTGGTGGGACGCTCCACTTCACAGACGCTGAGTGAAAGGAGAATTTTAGAATGACGGGACACTCATTTATATGACACTATATTCAACAGGAAGAACAGCTCGTTCCACGCGTCATACCGTCGTCTTTTCAGTTTTCAATCCGATCAAGAGTTTACATTCTCTCGATCAGATTAGAAAAGGAATAAACCACCCCTTTCAATTAGAAATTATTTGTAATAGAGCTGACACTTTGAGTTTTTAATGGGTTATGTTATAGCCCTACTTGTTTCTAATGTTTTTATGAAATATCTGTAGTGACTACATGATCATATCATCGTATTATTTACCACCATGCGAGCCACAAATTAAAGCTTGGTGAGCCACAAGAGGCTCACGAGCCGCCCAATGAGTAACACTGTGATATAGAGTGCACTCAAATGCCATACACTATATAGGGATTAGTGAATGAGTAAACGAGGGACACAGACACAGCTAATAACTAAAAATAACTCAAGATAAAAGCATTTTGCTCAATATTATTATATTTTAGCTTAAACTGATTACATTATTTAATAATAGTTGGAATAAATCTGCCGTGAAAACAAATTATTACAGCCACCAAACAAACTGGAATAGAAACAATTATATAATTTAAAAAGTGTTGTTTATATACAACTGTTTATATACAACTCAGCTTCCATTTGAGTGTTGATTATTAAACAAGTTTGACTAATTAATTATTAAACATTATTTTTGTTTTAAGTTCAGGTAAGATCAGGTAATTGAAAACTTTAATTTCGGTACCTCGGTAAAAAAAAAAGAAAACATTTTGGAGCATCACTAGTTTTTACTGTATTATTGATAAAAAATAAATGCAGCCTTAAGGAGAATATGACACTTCTTTCAAAAGCATTAAGAAAAACTTACCAACCCCAAACTTTTGAACAGTTGTGTATTATTAATGATTTTTTTTTAAATACATGCTACACTTTCTGTATTTTAGCTACACGGGTCATTAAGTGTAGGCGATGTATTATGGAGATGGATTGTACTGAAGAACTGAAGTTGGTGTTACATAACAGAGCTTGGCGTAACTAACACAATAACTGTTCTATTATCCTGTGGCCTCCCACACACAAACAGGGATAAAATGCAAGCGGTTATCTCACTTACAAGCTGAGCATGATCTTGCAGAGAAGCATGTATTTCAGTGCAGTGACTGCCTTGGGGCTGTCAATGGAATCGTAGCCCTCGAAAGCCTCGAAGAAGTAAGAATAGGCAGTTTTACAATCTTTTTCCTCAGCTGCATGGATGATACCTGGAGTGAAAGGGCGAAAAAGTCACATATCAATAAGCACACTTCCAATCTCAAAACGCACTTGTAGATCGCTAAACAGAGAAGTGAGACTTGCCTGACTGCATATCAAGAGCTGCCTGGAGCTTTGGGGGACAGTAAATGGCATTGGCGGTGGTCCTGGCTGAGGTGAGGGCAGCCCTGGCTTTGGGAAGGTTGCTGAGAGCGTGGTAGGTTTTACTCTCTAGCAGCTGGACTTCCACCAGTAGAGCTTTATCATCCATCTTCTTCAGCTCCTGCAGCAACTGGGTGCCTGAGGGGAAAGAACAGATCGTATAATGTTCAAAAATAAAATCAAGTATATCAAAAGTATAACAGAGTACAAAAACGTTGATATACAGTTGGGTCCAAAAGACAGAAAGCTCTATTGAGAATGCTTATATTGTAATTTAATACAATCATACAAGAATTTGAGCAAAAAGTGATTAAATAAACATGATTTTGATTATTTCTTATTATTTGGCTCTGACTTCTGGATCTAATTGCAAATACATATATTTTTAGATTATTCTTACCTAGATGAAGGGCTTCCTGGTATCTCTTGGTGTCAAAATAGAGTGAAATGAGTCGAGCCTGACAAAAAATGGCAAGGAATAAGTGATAATTATATAGTTGTCTACTGCTAGTTACATTTAATTGAGAATATATACACATTTAAAAAAAAATGTATATTATTAATAAACTTAAAGTAAAAGAAATAAGGTGTGTTATAAGACAATGCAAAGCTCCAAAAACACTATAATATAAGGAATGGCTTGTTGCTTTTATAAAATGTGTTAAATGTTTTTGGGGTTTTTTGGCACAGTAATATACAATTCACTTGATGTCACAGTTCTTCATATATATGCACTTTTATGGCATCCAGTCAGATCTTAGAGTTTGAACTACTCATTTTATATTAATTATTGGCTTGTGTAGTAGCTCTGATCGTCCTGACAGTTCAAAGCTGATGCTCAGTTTACCTCTAGGGCCTGTCTGAGGAAGGTTCTCTTCTCAGCTTTAGCCCATTCAATGCATTCCAGACACAGCTCAACCTCCTGGCCCGTGGCTGCCTCCATGTCCAGAAATAGATCCAGGAGCGAGCGCACCAACCGTGCTGCCTTTGCCTTGCTTATGGAGATCAGGAAAGGCCTCACAAACTTCAGCAGGCCTCCAAGCTCTAAAAAAACAAACATGCAGAATGATGATGATGTGTCAAAAAAAGTAAAAAAAAATCCCATAGCAGGCACAGAATCGCCGCAGTATGTTGATCGTCACCTGCAGCTTGTCCTGTCTTGGCCAGGAGAGTGCCCAGCTCCAGGATGCTTTGCTCCTTGACACGAACCGCCTCTTCATCATCCTCCTGGACATCCCGTCTCACTGAAAAAAAAAAAACAGACAAAGTTAAGCTGTAACTAAAGCGTGTTTTATGCTTCTGCGTCGAATCGACAGCGTACCCCCGCAGACCCCTCTGCGTCGCTGCGAACCCCTCTCCGACCACTCCACAGTAGCTCGACGTGCACCTCCAAAAAATTGTGGCGACGCAATCAAGGGCTGTGATTGGTCAGATTATACATCATTTCCAGAGTGTAGCTTTTCCGGTTTCCCCCTCCCGCTATACCGCCATTTACGTAGAGTACAGACCACCATCGCTGACGTCGTCTTTTTCTTCTGCGATTAAACATTTGCAATAAAATCATTTGTTGTTCAACGTCGATTAGCTCCAGCTGCAACAACATTCTCTCTCTTTCGCTCGCCATTGTCGGAAATGAAAAAGCGGAACCGGCGCACGGAACCAAAACAAACTAGCAAAGAGATTGGCGAACCACACACCCCCCTAGTGTTCTGGCGGTGAAATGCACCGCGATGTAACGCAACCTGACGCAGAACCATAAAACGGCCACGACGCCGTAGAAGTGACGGCGTAGCTACGCCGTGGAGTTGACGCAGAAGCATAATGAGGCCTTAAGACCAACACCCTCTAAAGGCTGATTTATACTTCTGCGTCGGACCTACGCCGGAGCCTCTACGCTGCAGCCAACGCGTTGGTTTTCATTTATACTTCTGTGTCGTTGTCCGCGTTGACGCGCAATTACACACGCAGAGGGAGCATGTGAAACCCGAGGGAGCATGTGAAACCCGAGGGAAGTGTTCTAGCAGACCAATCACAGTGCTTGCGTACGCGTAGAATTGACGCGTTGTTACGTTTTTGGAGAGGTGCACGTCTGGGTACGCCGAAGGGTTCGCGTGCTACACACAGCCTACGACGTAGCTAAAGGCTGATTTATACTTCTGCGTCGGCCCTACGCCGGGGCCTCTACGCTATAGACTACGAGTTGGTTTTCATTTATATTTCTGCTTCGTTGTCCGCGTTGACGCGCAATTACACATGCAGAGGGAGAATGTGAAACCCGGGGAGTGGTTCTAGCAGACCAATCACAGTGCTTGCGTACGCGTAGAATTGACGCGCTGTTACGTTTTTGGAGAGGTGCACGTCAGGGTACGCGCGCTACCTACGACGTAGCTCCGGCGTGAGTTCGACGCAGAAGTATAAATTGGGCTTAAGCCTCCCATCAATAGAAAGTAATTGCCCTATAGGTTTTGTACATAAGCCGCAGTTAGAATTAAAGTTACTAGGAGATATACATAAAAATATAAAGTTTAAAGTTTTATCAGTTAGCACACTTGATGTCAGAAACGGCTGTATACACACACACACAATATATATATATATATATATATATATATATATATATATATATATATATATATATATATATATTCGTCTTTGACATCAAATGTGTTGACTGAAAACTTTTTGTTAATCAATGCATCCCACCATCAGCCATTGGTGGTAAAAAAGATAACCCCGCCTGCGACCGCATGTCATTGGTTGAGTCACTGTTGTCGTGTTGGGCTTGTCAAGGTGCTCAAAATAACAGTAATGTTTCACCACAATTTCTACTTGTATCACATAGGCCTAGTTGCTGACTCCTTGTAAGACCTCATGTAATAGTTATCATTAATGGTTGTGTTCTTGTTGTAAATTGTTTTATTTGATTCTTTTTTTCTATTCTTTTCTCTGTTTTCCTCCTTGATGTGTACAAAAAAGGAAAAACTGTTTAAAAAGTAAAAAAAAAAAAATAGCAGTAATGTTTTGATAAGGCCATATTATTTACACTTTTCAGCAAAATCAACCTACAAATGACTAGTTATAGTCGTCTCTGCGAATTAAGGTGGGTCTGAATAAATACTTTAAAAGCTAAATCACCTTTTAAGAAAAACATCATAAAAATACCCAATTAATTATCTATAATGATCTTCGGTAACTCATTTAAAACCAACTTGTCATGTGAGCCATGAAAAAAAAAAAGGTTGAAACGAAAGAAACTTGGGTCTTGGAGTCGACAAAGACAAACAGACATAAGAGTGCAAATTATCGGCAAGTTTTTATTAGTCAAAGTTGATTTTACTCTACCAAACTGCTTAAACTAAGAATGCGTGTTATGACGTAAACAGAGAGTTGATATATTTACGAATAAATTTAGGATTTCAACAGCCAAAAAAAGAAAGAAAGGAATTTCAGTCAAAGTTACGAAAGCAAAAACAAATGTCAAAGATTGTCTTATGGTTGGTATGAAGCACGTCAAGTTGATCAAGTTAAAACTGTCAAAAAAAAGTGAATCTCAAAATAAAATGTCATCGGTTGAGCTTTTTATTAATACAAAATGAAGATAAATCCCAGATAAATGTGTTAAAATGCGCCTTGGCCTGGAAGGGTGGCTAATAGTGCAGCTAACTGTCCATACACATCGGACTGTGTCTCAAAACGTAGCTAGCTGCCTACCTAGACAGTTCTTTTAGGGAACCGGGGGCGCTTTCGAACGTTCGAGTCATATGTTTGAGCACGCACATGAAACCATAAAAAAGCTGTCTTTGTTCTATGCTCGATTCGTAAGTTCGAATGCTGCCATAAGGTCTAAAAATGCTGTCTGTGGAGGCAGCTTACTGTGTTTTGAGACGCGCGCACACACACAGTAGCTACAGTGAGTCAGCACCGCAGCACCGGCTCATGGTACCTTAGCTTACTAATACTGAAGCATTACAGTATGCAGAGTGAAAAGTAAAGTTTTATAAAATAATTGAAACACAGCCTTACCTATTGAATGTAAAATGTCAATAGAAGCGTTTCTGTCTGTGCTAATGAGAGATTGAGCTCTCTGAAACTCCACCACTGCCGCGGCTGCCATCTTCCCTATTCAAAAATCTCACTGCCCACAAGCACTTGCGACCTCACCCGGAAGTGCGTTGGTACGTACGTACGTGCGGGCGTGCGTGCGTGCTTGCGGGCGGTGGTAGGTTGGGTTTTGTAGTCTTTTGACCTTTACGTCTCATTTGTAAGTTGCTGTAAATAAAAGCAACTGCTACATGATTAAATTGACTTATTTTTAATTATAATGAATGCAAATATTAATCATAATTATTGTAAATATTATTAGGCTATTATTCAGATCATGATTTAATTTAGTAGGCTACCATACTGCTTAGAGAATTTGCTTTTGTTGTTGTTGTTTATGGTCAGTAGGTGGTGACAGACCCTACTGCTATAGTTATCCTTCCATGCCATCGACCATCCTGCATTGCTTTGTTTAAGGGTGAAATTCAATGCCTTTTGCAGAATGAAAAATCATATCAAGATTGTATATAGAGATTTATGTATTTTGAATTTAAAAAAAAAAAAAAAAAAAGTTAATCTGTGTGATGGTGAGTTTTCTACATGGTGAAATAAATATACATGGCCTAGTCTAACAAATATAATAATTAAATCCAGAAGGGAGTAGCAAACCATCTGCCTAAACTATCAATAGGCCTGTGTATCAATTATTTGAAAAGTTATGGTGAGTTAAGTCCTCCTGGGATGTTTGTACTTATAAGTTATAAGGGATTCGGAAGTCATATTTACGTCAAGTGCATTCAAGTCACATTTTGTTGTAAATAAAAAAGCCTGATAATGCTAGATATCTATAGCTAATTGCACACGTACATCTCAGAGACGTCTATTTGATGTGCGTGTTTTCATCTAGATTCTAGATGATGTATTTTCAGTTTTTGCTCATCTGCAATACGTCTCTAAAGACATTTCCTGTTAGATGTTAAATAGACAATTAGAAAACGTCTTTAAGATGTTTATGATTTATAATGTATGTAAAACTGACTTTTTAAAGATGTTTGCTACACAGCAGGTGCTTTGCAGATGAACCATCTTTAACAGACACTACTTGGAGAAGTACGTGTGCTATCTTATTCCGACACGTTCCTCACGCCCCAAACTCGTAAACTCCCAATCGTATGACTTTGTGGTGGGGTGCGTTCAACTCGTAAATAAGATCTTTCCGACCTGACTTGTAGCACACCATCAGTCAGTCCTCCTGAGCAACCTTATAAGAGACCATATAAACTTAAATAATATTTAAACATGTAAATAAGTAGGCTATACATTACATTTAAATAAATATTACATTTTTAAAATATGTGTATTTAGTTAGAGGATATAAGCTATACATTTTTAGAGGTCCTAGCTAAATGTATAGCCTAACCTACTAATGGATTTGGATGCTAAATAACTATAACTAAACAGCCTATAGTTTTCTCTTTAGTCTGTGATTTGTTTTATTTATAATAATTATTATTATTGTTTAACTTTAAAATGATTGCCAGGTGCACGAAGGCGGGGCAGTGGAGAAACAGACCACAATGAGGCGCTCAAGCACAAGCTTTCTAATAGCAGGACGCAGTGCGCGCGGCTCTGACAGCACAACATCAACCTAAATCCCGTATCTGCTGGTGTGGACCAATAGCACAGCTTCACTGTTCTCAGCATCACCAACCAAAGGAGACATCCAGCATCCCCAGACCTCTGGAGCGCCTACAGAGACCTCCGACAAGACGCGAAGATTGTTTTGTTTGATTAAAAGCTTATTCTTTTATTAGAATTTAGGCGCCCTGACAATCTTGAAATTCAATCTTTTACTTGGTGTGGCCGATTCTGCATCTCCTTGATGCGCAGTTTATCAAGGATAAACCCAGACAGCCATTACTGCGGCTCTTGTTTTGCCAAAGCATCGTGGAGGAGAGCAGATTCCTGTAAGTGAGCTGCATTTCATCGAAGCTTCTGTAATCATAGATGTTATATTTGGTTGATTGTTGGTCATATTTTCAAGGTTTTGCAGTATTTATCGAGGAATTGTAAGCTGGTTTGGTAAACATTTATTTTGTTGATCTTTCTTTCTTATTGACGTGATGATGAAAATCAGTGTCTTTTTTTTTTATCTCTCGTGCTCATGTAAACATCGCAGAGCGGATCTAACATTTTCAGAACCTTGGACAGTGGCTGACATATTTCAGCAAAGCACAAATGCATTATAGTGGCGAAAGGAAAGTTATTTTTTTCTTTTTCGTTTGTTAAATAATCTACAAACATGCATTGAACGAGAATGAGGTAGGCTGTTATACTACAGGTCCCATTAAATTCAGATTTACGAACGGTGATACAGTGGGATCAGTATTTACAAGAGAGCCGTAAACACTGGACTCTGCCATAATGGCGATGTCTTTATTTATGTTCATTGGCGGGTTTGAGTTTACTGTGTAAAATGCAGACTATATATATACCTCGTGGGGTGTCAATTGTTTTAAGTGCGGTAGAGCTACATAAATCAATTGCTTTATTTTAGCCAAATGTACAGTTGAATACGAAGGATTTGAATGTTATTGTGTGCATGTTGAGTGCGTCAAGAAATAAAGAATTCATGCATCTTACTTGAATCTACGACACAATGCTTTTATGAGGCCTGTTTTCGACATAAAGAAAACAGTAGGCTATAGGCTAGTACTGTCGTCAAATTTAAAACCACAAATAATGATCTTAAATCATCTCAAGTAAAAAGGCAATTAGGTTCACATGTTCAGAATAGATTACAAAAATATCAATAATATTTCAATAATATGGACATTTTGACCTAAGATAATTATTTTGCCACTTGAGAAACCCCATTCTCCAATCATCTTAACATTAATCATTTAAGATTGTTTTAATGGAAACAAAAAGGCCCAATTGCCAAGTCAACATGCTTTTATGTCAACATGCATCACTGTTGTTAGGACACTACAGGTAGAGTATTTGTAGATGACCAGCTAACATAAAACAGATCAAATTCAACATCATAAATACAGGAAATATAAAATAGCAACTAATAGATCAATAAAATAAAAATAAAATGTACTCTTTTAATCTGAAGAGAGCCTATATTTCAACATTATACTGCATAGGCCTACAACATGCATGCTGCAATATAAAAAGTCTGTGATGCTAAAATGCTAGAATCAAAATACACACTTATACTATTGCTATCAGGAAAGCACCAATTTAATATGTATTTATATATGTTTTTTATTGTCTTACAGGCTTTGCAGTGACAGAGTCCTCATCCATCCCGACATCATTCTTCTTTAAATAGAACACCAACCTAAATTTGGATGTCTTACAGATTTAACTAGTCTCAGGAAGCAGTGGGGCTCCAGTTTGGCACCTTCTTTAGCTGACCCCTAACCTTGAGATTCAGGTAACCCGCGCCCGGAATCATGGGAACCGTGCTATCGCTTTCACCCAGCTACCGGAAGGCCGCCCTGTTCGAGGATGGCCCGTCCACCGTGGGCCACTACACGGCGGTTCAGAACAGCAAGAACGCCAAAGACAAGAACCTAAAACGGCACCCGTTCATCAACGTACTGCCGTGGAAACGAATAGTAGCCGTCTCAGCCAAGAAAAAGGGGTCTAAGAAGGTGCAGCCTAACACCAACTACCAGAACAATGTTTCTCACCTCAACAATGAGAACCTCAAGAAGTCACAGTCTTGTGCAAATCTCTCGTCCTTTACGCAGGACCAGTCGAGTCCATCAAACCAAGGCTCCAAAAACTCCAATAACACGGCTTCCTCTGTCAAGAAGGCGCCTCTTTCTAACTCCAACATTGTTCCCGGGACACCCAAGAGGGTGATTGTCCAAGCCTCCACCAGCGAGCTACTGCGCTGCCTGGGGGAGTTCCTCTGCCGGAGGTGCTATCGGCTCAAGCACCTTTCCCCCACCGACCCCGTGCTGTGGCTCCGCAGCGTGGACCGTTCTCTGCTGCTGCAGGGCTGGCAGGACCAGGGCTTCATCACCCCGGCCAACGTGGTTTTCGTCTACATGCTCTGCCGCGACGTGGTTTCCTCTGAGGTGGCCACGGAGCACGAGCTGCAGGCCGTGCTGCTGACCTGCCTCTACCTGTCTTACTCTTACATGGGCAATGAGATCTCATACCCTCTCAAGCCATTCCTGGTGGAGACCTCCAAGGAGACATTCTGGGACCGCTGTCTGTCCATCATCAACATGATGAGCGCCAAGATGCTGCAGATCAACTCGGATCCTCACTATTTCACCCAGGTCTTTGCAGACCTCAAAAACGAAAGCCAGAAGGAGGAGGAAAGGAGTCGTCTGCTCATCGGCCTGGACCGGTGAGGAGGCTCTGGAGATGTCTTTGGTGGAACTCTTGTCTGGCATTTTGAAAAAATGGATAGTTCACCCGAAAATGAAAATTCTGAGAAATGTACTCACCCTCATGTCATCAAACCTGTATGACTTTCTTTTTTTCCCCTGTGGAACACAAAAGAAGATATTTTGAAAAATGTTTCTTAGTCCTGAGAATCAATGGGGTCCAATAGGTTTGTTTTGGACCCCATTGACTTTAACTGTACACTCTTAAAAATAAAGGTTGCAATGGGGGTTTTCACAGCAATGCCATAGACAAACGATACTCAAAGAACAATTTCTAAAAAGTGTGAAGGACATTTTAAAAGAACATTTTTACACTATAAAGAACATTTTGTGGGATGGAAATGTTCAATTGGTGTTAGATGTTTTGGTTTCACTTTATTTTGATGCTCCCTTTAACACATTCTGTTGACTATAAGTAATGTTGCACCTACATTAGTGTTAGTAGAGCATTAGTAGACTGGTAGGGTTAGGGTTAGAATAAGTTGACATGTAGTTGCAAAGATACTTATAGTCAGAAGAATGTCTGTTTGAGAACCATTATAATAAATAGTAAGCAGATATTAAGCAGAACGTCTACTAATACTCTAAAGAGAGTTAGTTGACATGTAGTTGCAAAGTTACTTATAGCCAACTGAATGTTCAAAAGGGACCATCAAAATAAAGTGTTATCGAGGTTTTTCATGGAACCATCATTGCCAATAA